AGAGGAAGAAGAAGAAGAAGAAAGAAGAAGAAGAAGAAGAAGAAGAAGAAGAAGAAGAAGAAGAAGAAGAAGAAGAAGAAGAAGAAGAAGAAGAAGAAGAAGAAGAAGAAGAAGAAGAAGAAGAAGAAGAAGAAGAAGAAGAAGAAGAAGAAGAAGAAGAAGAAGAAGAAGAAGAAGAAGAAGAATTTTGACTTTTTTGGGGAGGGAAAAATCCTGTATCTCCCTTGTGTCTGTAACCAGCCTCTTGTTGGAGTCTCTGGTCTGCTTGTGGTCCTGTGGCTTGGTTGGTTTCTTAAGAAACAAGTTTGTTCGAACAGGCAGAAAAATGCTCTGCTTTACCCAGGATTTTGAGATACTCCTCCCCGGTTAGTTTAATCTGCTTTGAGAATCACAAAAGAGGGGGATGCAGTGATGAGGCTAGGTTCTGGGTAGACTTGAGGCCTTTCAACAAACAGTAGCTTTTCCCTGAGGCTGTTTTGTGAAAAACTCACAGAGCCCAGCCTGGAGCCATTCTCAGGGTTTCTGTTTACTGAATTTCAATTGATTGTACAGGATGCTAGAGAGAGGGGCAACCTCTGGCTCTGATTATCCAGTGAAGAAAGCCACTCCTAGGGCTCGCGCCCCAGCGGGGTGACTTTTCCCTGGGTGGAGCTGAGTCTGGCAGGTCATGCCGCCGTTAAGTTCTTGTGACCTGCTAAATGACTCGTTTTATTCCAAGGCATGAGTTGGAGCTAGCAGCTCTGCAGAGCTTTGTCGGTATCCAAGATGGATATCTCCGGTACTGGTGGGGGGAGGAGTGGCCTTCCCTCCTCTGCTCCCTGAGAAGGAGTGAGGATGACGGGCTTCTACTCATGCTGAGTCTTGATTCCTGGTTCGTCTCTGGTCTGCGAACTGCAGGATGAAGATGTCTGCTCCTTGTCAGTTCTTGCTGGTGTTGAGTAGAATCTGCTTGCCCGCTGTGTCTGGCTCCTTCGTCCAGGACTCTCTGTGGCTCAGGTACGGTTCCCTGTGGTCACCACCGCCACTGCTGCCTCAGCCAACGCTGTGGGCGCCGCAGCGGCTGCTGGCAAACGCTCAGATCTGTCTCCTTGCCTGGGTTTCCCCTCTCTGGCCTATCTCTCTGTCCTGTGATGGCACACTTGGTGTGATTCTCTGGCTTAAGACTGCTTGACATGATTTTAATTCTTCCTCCTCTTGTTTCACTATTTCCAATGTTATTACTTCAAAGAAATTAGTGTAAAGAAAATATTTTGTCTTTATGAACTCAGAATTTTTGATTCAGTTTGGGCACATTACATATTTATATTTCATTTTAACTTCGAAATCCTCTTTCCTTCATTTAAAATCACAGTTCTGAATTTATAATGCTAAAGTAGCATCTACTAATTTATATGCAATCGTCCAAACTATTTTCACTTCACACTACATGTAATATAGAGTGTAATAATAATGATGAGTAATATAGTATGTAATAATTGCCTTTGGGAAAAGTCAATTACAGTGGTTTTGTGAGATACTGAATAATAGTAACAGTTATATTTGATTCTATTAAAAAATTTCAAGTTACACCTAAAAATTACTCACAGTTATAAATTAATGCTGAAAAATAACATTGTTTATTAGAAAAAGCCAGAAGGTTCAATAAGCTTGCTTTTTTAAACTTGTCTTGAATCTGGGCTTTGGTGGCTCATGCTGAAATCCTAGCTACCCAAAAGTCTGAGATCTGAGGATAGTGGTTCAAAGCCAGCCTGGGCAGAAAAGACTATGAGACTCTTAGCGCCAATATATCTCTTGCAAACTAGAAACGGCACTGTGTCTCAAGTGGTACAGTGTTATTCTTGAGCTGAAGAGCACAAGGACAGTGCCCAAGGCCAATGTTCAAGCCCCACGACATGCAAAAAAAAATTGGCATAGATTTTTACTTTATTATTTCATGATTTTTCAATGTGAGAATACGGACCGAGGGTTTACAATTGCATGAACAAAGTAATGAGTACATTTCTTATTAAGCATTGTTGCCTCCTCCCTTGTTTCTCCGTCCCATCCCTTCCCATCTCCCTTTCTGCCCCCCGTCCCCCTGTGCCAAAGTTGTAAAGTTCAATTTTCAACATAAAGTCTTGTGTCATGTCATTGTTGCTATGGGTTCACATGAATCCCAATATGTTTTTTCCTTCCCTTCCCCAAATTATATCAACATCAAATACAATGAAAATAGAGGTTATTTCATGGGGGAGGGACATAAAAAGCAACAAAAGAATCATCTTGTAAATATGGTAGAAACAACAGCAAGAAAGAAAAACCATTTGAGTCATTATCTTGGTGTTCATTTCACCTAAAATCAATTTGTCTGACATTTTGTGTTTAACTCCGACATATACTAGTTATTGCAAATAAGGGAAAACATGGAAGCTAGTTTCTTTTGGCCTGGATTACTTTACTTAATACAATTTTTTCCAACTCTTTCCATTTCCTAACAAATGGGGCAATATCATTTTTTCTGATGGAGGCATAGAATTCCATTGTGTATATATAACAATTTTTTTTTATTGTAAGAATACCGTACAGAGGAGTTACAATTACATGGACAATATAACAAGTACATTTCTTATCAAGTGTTGTTGCCACATTTTATCGATCCATTCATCTACTGAGGGGCATCTGGGTTGGTTCCATGTCTTAGGTATGGTAAATAATACTGCAATAAACATAGTGGTGCTGATAGCTATAGTATGGGTTTGTTTTTGATCATTTGGGTAAATGCCCATAAGTGGGATAGCTGTGTCATAGGGGAGCTCTATATGGAGTCTTTTGAGGAACCTCCATGCTACTTTCCAGCACGGTTGAACAAGATTACAATCCCACCGACGTCCTGTACAGCTTGTCTTGTTATTACAGTTCTGCATTATAGTCATTCTAACTGGGGTAAGGTGGTATCTCAGTGTAGTTTAGATTTGAATTTCTTTTATAGCTAAGAAGGTTGAGCATTTCTTCATGAATCTATTGGCTATCTTTCTTTCCTCTTCAGAGAAGTTTCTCTTTAGTCTTTAGCCACTTATTTATTGGGCAGTTGCTTCTTTGAGGATTTGTTGTTGGGGGATTTAATTTTTTGAGTACCAGGTATATTTTAGATATGAGACCCTTGTCCGTTGTATGGCTAGTGAAGATCTTCTCCCAATCTGTAGGATTTCTATTGATCTAGCTAACTATGTGCTTTGCCATGCAGAAGCTCTGCAATTTCATGCAATTCCATTTGTCCAACCTTTCTTTGATCTGTTGTGTTTCTGGGTCTCTATTAAGAAAATTTCGGCCTGTGCCAAGGACGCATAAGTTATTTCCTAGTTTGTCCTGCAATGTTTTCAGGGTGTCTGCTTTGACTCTGAAGTCTTTCATTCATTTGGGGTGGATTCCTTTTTTAAATTTTTATTTATTTTATTGTGAATATACTGTACAGAGTGGTTTCAATTACAATGGCAAGATAATGAGTACATTTCTTTTTTTTTTTTTTTTTAAAAAGGAAAAGTGTCTTTATTGTATGAAGCATAAAAAATTGTAAACAAAAATTGCATGACATTTCATTTCTTATTTAGATTTTTCAATGGAGTTATAAAAATATAATACCAGTTAGTCTTTGTAAGCTCTTGAAAATGTCTAGAAAACACAATATAAAAGGCACTTAAAACACACAAGGAGACGATAAAAAGATAAAAGTCATGGGTACAATTAAAATTGCTTTGAAAAAAATGTTTCAATATAGATTTTCACATAAACAGGACTTTACCTTTTCTCCTATTTTAGTTTTTTAAACCATAGATAGTATTTTCCTCACTTTATAAGTAGAGACTATAAATGTGGTCTTCCATCTCCCACCTTTGTTCTTGATTCAGGCTACTGGAAAAGCAAGCTGCAATTAATTTGCCTGCTTTTTTTTTCTTTTAAACTTTATTCTCCATTTTGTCTAAGATAAAATTCTTAATCCGTAACCACAATCTTTTAGAAAGTCTGGCTCATTTTCATTTTGTTTCAAGTCACAATTCATTAACAACAATAACAAACCCAGGAAGACAATGATGTAAATGATGCTTTTCAGAATAAATATAGAACTTATTTTTCGGCTGTCAAAAATCACCCTAAGCAAAGGTATTTCTGAGGCATGTGTATATATACATGTGTGCAAATTTTAAAATAGATCTGTTACATCATTTTGGCTTTTTAGCATGCTGAAATCACACTAACAAAATCTCTGCGAACTGTGATTGCAGGTGCATTACTACTCAGATCATTCTGCCCACTCATTTGTGATAGATGCTTCAGATGCTTTTAACTCTCCATTTCCCTTTGGGTCAGTCAAAAGATAAAGAATGCACAGCAGAAATAAAATAAAAACCCTCTGCCTCACCTTACATATGTCCCGTTGCTAATTGGGTGTATTCTTACTGTGGAAGTTCCATAGTCTTGGTATTTTTATCCATTATCTCTTTAAGGCCTTAATATGAGGATGCTTTTTTTTGTTGTTGTTTAAAAGAAACATGAGCCAGATCAATAGCTCATTCTCTACTTTCAAATGCTAGTTTAGAAATGAATCATTGCACTGTTCAAGTGTGTTGTTATAGAAATAACTTAATTACTTTAAGGGATTTCCTGAACATGATCATTCTCAAATAATTTAGCAGTAAAATCCAAAGATTTGGTTACTTTCCTGGCAAGATTTAGGGTATGAATGAAAAATGACATTTATATAAAATAATATGGGGGGAGGGGGAATTGCTTGAATGCTTCTCCACTTTATTACTGCAATCATACCTGGGAGTGATGTAAATTAGTCCTTGACATTGATTTGTGTGTTTAAATTGATTCTTAAATAGGCTTTTTTCTGTCTTTTGTTCTGTTGCTCACCCTTTGAAGAAATGTCATGGGGAGTGGCGAGTGGGGTAAGGGGTGGAGCCTCTGGGCTACCTTCCTGAGTACATACACGCGCTCATTTCTCATGCCTCAGTTCACTTTCCTAGTCAACTTTTCTGGTGGATGGCACCGAAAATCTTTTGCTGATTTTCAAGGCAGTCTTTCAGCTTATCCTCTGTCAAAGTCAGTCGCTGCTCCAAAATTGAAACAGTCTGTGTCAAGACGTTGAGCTGCTCCATGATATGCTCTAGTGCATCAGTCACAGCAAGTGGTACGCTTCTTTGACTGTCAGACAGCAGGTCACTCACATCTTCTGTCTTCTTTCTCACAGCTGGTGAACACCCTGGTTGTACCAAGGATGGGTTCATGAAATACGCACTGATGTCCTCACCATTCTTGTCTGGCTGAGTTCTATCAATGGTGTCTGTTGTTGTAGTAGAATCAAAAGAAAGGATGTCCACAACAGGGGGAGAAGAACTTTGCAAATCGATTACATCAAGCTTTGGATTAATTTCAACAGTCTCAACTTTTCCCTCATGGGGATGTGGTGTTCTTGGGTAGATGTCGAGAAGGTGTGGTTGTGAATCAAAATGCAATCTTTTGAGATTTCTTTTATTAAGATTTTTACTATGCAACTCATCAAAGTTAGTCTTCCACAGTAAGACCTGTGCATCTGCACCACCTGATGCAAACATCTCTCCACCTTTGGAAAAGGAAACAGTAAAGACAGGTCCCGTGTGTCCTTGAAGCATATATATGAGTCTTCCTTCCAAGAGATCCAGAATCTTAAGGGTGCCATCAGAAGAAGCAGTGATGAGGTGGTTACCCGAAGGGTGGAATGACACACAGTTAACTCCACAGTTGTGAACTTGATAATGCTGGAGTAATTTGTTTACTCGGATATCCCAGATTTTCACGGTGTGATCAGAACCTGCTGAAGCTATACATGTCCCATTAGGGTTGAAGTCCACAAAATTTGCAAATCCTACAGAATCAGAGAAGTTATTAACACACTGCTTATTTGTGGTATCCCAAATTTTAACCGTTTTGTCCTCACTACATGATACTATGAGTCTTCCATCAGGGGAAAATTTGGCACAGCGTACCCAGTGTGTGTGTCGGTATAAGGAATATAAGAAGCGTTGGCGATGCATATTCCATACTTTGATAGACTTGTCTTCAGAAGCTGTAACAAGATATTGACCATCGGATGAAAAGTCCACACTTCGAACTGGAGCTGTATGTGCTTTAAATTCTGAAGATTTCCCTTTCTTATCAGGAATCCAGAGTCTAACAGTTCTGTCTCTTGAGCCAGATGCTAGTAAGTTCCCTTGTGGAGAAAACTGCACGCTGGTTACAACGTCCTTGTGACCTACATATCTGTAAGCTCTAGCTTGTGGTTTCAAATTCCATAGCATGAGAAAGGTGTCCCAGGATGCAGTAGCGAGTTGTTTGCCGTTGGGGCTGAAGCTCACAGAGGTGACCGCAGCTTTGTGACCTTTAAAATAACGCTCCAAGGGGGTCCTCCGGGGCGGAGGCCATGAGGGGCGCGGCGGGCGCCGGGCTCCGGCGGGAGGGGGGAATCCGGGGAGGGGGCGGGACGCGGCCGGCGGGGGTGTGGGGGGGACCGTGCGGCGTCCGGAACTGTCCGCTCGGAGCGGCGGCGCCTCCCCATGAGTACATTTCTTATCAAGCATTGTAGCCTCCTCCTTTGTTTCCCCTTCAGGGTGATATATATGGACCTAGCTTTAGTTTTCTACAAGTGATTAACCAATTTTGTCAGCACCATTTACAGAAGAAGCTCTTTCTTTCATTCTATTTCTTAGCTCCCTTATCGAAGATTAGGTGGCTACAGATCTGTGGGTTCATTTCTGGGTTTTCCGTTCTATTCCATTGGTCCTGAGGTCTGTTCTTGTGTCACTACCAAGTTGTTTTGATTACAATGGCTTTGTAGTAGAGTTTGAAATTTGGTATTGATATTCCTCAAGCACTATTCATTCTGTTGAACATTTTTGCTCTTCAGAGTCTTTTATTGTTCCATATGAATTTTTGGAATTCTTCTTCTATTTTCTTGAGGAATGAGTTTGTAATATTGATGAGCATCACATTGAATTTGTAGATAGCCTAGGGAAGTATTGCCATTTTCACGATTTGACTCTACAAATCCAGGAGGATGGGAGGTTTTTCCACTTTCTAAGTTCTGTTTTTATTTCCTTTTTCAGGTTTTGAAAGTTTGCATCATAAAGATCCCTCACATCTTTGATTAAGTTAATACCTAGGTATTTTATTTTTTGTGGGCTATTATGAATGGAGTTGCTTTCCTGATTTCAGCCATGTTTTCTCATTGTTGGCATACAAAAATCCATTGATTTTGAGAGTTAATTTTTCCCTTGTTACTTTGCCAACGTTTGAATCAGCATGAATAATTTCGGAGTGGTGTCGGTGGGATTATTTAAATACAACATCATGTCATCTGCATATAGGGAGAGTTTTAAATCTTCTTTCCCTATTTGGATCCCTTTTATGTTTGCATCTTGTCTTTTGCTGTAGTTAGGCATTCTCATACTCAATTGAAGAGAAATGGAGAGAGTGGACATCCTTGTCTCGTTCCTGGGTTAAGAAGAAATGGCTTTAGGTTTTCACCATTAAGTATAATGCTGGCTGTAGGTTTGTCTTATACCGCCTTTATGGTATTGAGGAATGTTGACTGGATTCATAGATTTTACAGAGCTTTTATCACAAAGGGTGTTGAGTTCTAATTTTATTCCCTTGGATACTGTTTCTTGGCTCTTACTGTGGTCTTGTTGGTTTTCTATGTGTAGGATACTTTTGTCTTTTGTAAGGCTGGTTTGGTGGAAATACATTGTTTCAATGTTTCTTTGCTATGGAAACTTTTTATTTGACCTTCAGTTATGAAGGATAGTTTAGCTGGGTACAGTATTCTTGGTTGGTAATTGTTTGCCTTATCGCATGGCTTACACCATTCCAGGCTCTTCTTGCTTTAATTGGCTCTGCTGAGAAATCTGGGATGATTCTAATTGGTTTCTGTTTATAGGTGATTGTTCTTTTCTCCTTGAGATCTTTAAGGCTCTATTCCTTGGTCTGAATTGATTCTGTGCAGATTATAATGTGACAGTGGGATATCTTGTTCTGGCCTGGTCTATTTGGGGTTCTATAAGCTTCTTATATCCGAATAGGTCTATCTTTTTGTATGTATGGGAAGTTCTCTGCTAGGTTTCTGTTAAATAAGTTTTCTGGACCATTAACTTCTTTTTCTAGGTGCTCCTCTACACCCATATCCTCAGATTAGGCCTTCTGATGGTGTTTTCCAAATGTTGAATAGATCTATCATATTTTTTGGATTTGTCTTGCATAGTTTTATGTTTTTTCTCTATAACATATAGGCTGTCTTTAATCCCGAGATTCAATCTTCTGCATGTTCTAACCTACTGTCAATACTTTCTACTTTTTTTTTATTTCTTTTTCTTCTAATTGGTCGGCTTTGATGGCTTCAAAATTTTTATTGGAGCTTTGTTTTAGATCTTGTGTGAAATTCTTTACTTCCTTAATTTTGTGATCAGTTTCTCAAATCACTTAGTTGATTGGTTATGTTTTCCCTGGACACCCATTCTTTCTGTAGGGCTCCATTCAGCATTCCATTTGTGGTCTCCCTGACTTACTTCAACAGTCTGTTTATGGATTCTGTGAATGCCTCTATTTATCTTTGTCTAGTCTCATCCTGCTCTCATAATTCCTGTATTACTCTTTGATTAGTTTCATCATGTTCATGCAATTCCAGTAATTCTCTATGGCTGTGCTCTGCCTGCTCATGCATTTCCTGTATTTATCTTTGACTTTTCTCAACCTGCTTATGCAATTCCTGCATTAATCTTTAAGTAGCTTCCTAATGCTTACAAGATTCCTGTATTAATCTTTGGTTTGCCTCCTCTCGCTCCCTATCACGCTCACACTGAGTCCTTTGCAAGTTCAATCATTTCATTCACCATGTTTACTAGTAGTGTATGTACAGGTTTTTATGGAGCTTCTCTGGATTATTCATTACAATTTTGTCACCTGATTAACATGAGTGGGAGTTGAGATACCTGGACTTGCCATTTTTATTGTTCTTTTCAGCTTTTTCTGCCCATTTGGTACGAAGGTAACACCAATTTTGTGCTAGAACATTATTTTAAGGCAAACATCAGCCAGAGTCCTATAATTGCACAATCAAAATGGCTTCAGATACAATCTAATTCAACAGATACAATCTATTCAACATCAAACAACTATGTATTGCTGTGCTACAAACAACAAAACAGGATTTGGCAAACCAGAAATTATTAACTTTAGGGAGAAATGTGGGGACAAATAGTACTAGAGGGATGTGGAGGGGTAAAAGGAGCGTAAATTTAACCAATTCCTGATCTCAGAGAGGAAAATGGATTGGACAGAATGACAGGAGAGAAATATAAAAAAAAGAGGGGTGACAGTAGAAGATGGCAGAGGAGAAGCTGGAGGCTAAACAAGCTCTCCCATAGAAAGTAGTTTTAGAGTTCCAGTGAACAGTCCTAAGCCAGAAAATCACACCAAATGTGCCAACACAGGTCCGAGAGTTAGGCCAGGGAGAGAAAATTCAGGCAAGGAGATAGCTCTGAGCTCTTGCCAGGAGCTGCGGCGGCAGCGGCAGTGGTGTTGGTGGTGGCCGCAGACGCCATACCTGAATCACAGAGAGTCCTGAACGAAGGAGTCAGACGCAGCGGGCAAGCAGATTCTACTCAACACCAGCAAGAACCCACAAGAAATGGACATCTTCTTCCTGCAGATTGCAGACAAGAGACGACCCAGGAACCAAGATTGGGCATGAGTAGAAGCCTGATGTTCTCACTCCTTCTCAGGGAGCAGAGGAGGGAAGGCCACCCTTCCCCCCCCCAGGACTGGAGATCTCCAGGACTGGAGATCTCCATCTTGGATAACCACAAAGCTTGGCGGAGCTGCTAGCTCCAACTCAGGCCTTGAAATTAAACTAGAGTCATTTAGCAGGTCCCAAGAACTTAACAGCGTAACCTGCCAGACTCAGCTCCACCCAGGGAAAAGTCACCCAGCTGGGGCGCCAGCCCTAGGAGTGGCTTTCTTCACTGGGTAATCAGAGCCAGAGGCTGCCCCTCCCTTTACCAGTCTCGACAATCAATTGAAATTCCGTAAACAGAAACCCTGAGAAAGGCTCCAGTCTAGGCTCTGTTTCTCACAAACTCGCCCCTCAGGGAAGAGCTACTGTTTGCTGAAAGACCTCAACTCTACCAAGAACCTAGCCTCATCACAGCATCTCCCTCTTTTGTGATACTCAAAGCAGATCTGCCTCCTATTGAACTAGCCTTGGAGGAGGATTGCAAAATCCTGGGTGAAAGCAGAGCATTTTTCTGCCTGTTCCAACAAACTGACTTAAGAAACCAACCAAGCCACAGGACCACAAGCAGTCCAGATAATTCCAACAAGAGGCTGGTTACAGACATAAGGGAGACACAGGATTTTTCCTACCCCACCCAAAAAAAATCAAACAACTTTTTTTATACTTCTTTTAATCTTTAAGTTTTACCTTTTTTGAAAAAAATTGTTTTCCAGTAATTTTTTTTTCTCTTATAATTTTTATTTTAGGGATACATGTGTGTATGCGTTTTTCTTTCTATTTTTTGTATTATTTCTCCTTTTTTTTAATTATCTTTTTGTTTTTTATTTAGCTCGACTGAATGTCTGATCTTTTTTTCTTCCTTTCTCATCCTTTTCAAGTTTTCCTCTGTTTCGTTCTTCTTTATGTGACTTAATTGTTGTCCTGCACATCCTTAGATAAACCCGTAGTTGACTATTAGACCCTATCCCCATTTGTGTACACACTTAATCCACAAATTTATTACTCAATCCAAATTCTCTGAGACATAAATTCCTTAATAGCAGTACTACATCTTTATTCCTATATAATATTTTAAGCATTTTTATTTTTAAGTTTTTCACATCTCCTTTATATCCCTCCCCTTCTCTCATTATATTCACATTCTTCTCTAGATAGATTTTTTTTTCGTTTCTGCACAATATTGTTAATTTTTACTTTTCTATTTTTTCTGGTCTCTTTTCCCTTTCTCTTTCTTCTTTTTTTCTCTCTCTCTACTTTCATCCTAAAAAACCTATTTCCTGCTTTGAGATTAGGACTTAGTTAACTCTTCCAGTGCCTTCCCAATTCACTCTATTCCTATTTTTTACCCACTTCTCTCCCTAACCCTACCAATTTCTGGTTTTCCAAAATCTCCTTTGCGGTTCGTAGCCCATTAATATACAGTTGTTTGATGTTGAATAGATGTATCTGTTGAACTAGATTGTATCTGTAGACAATTGACAGTGCAAATTCATACTTTGGATGATGCATGCCTTAAGAAAATGTTCTAGCACAAAACTAGTGCTATTTTCATCCCAAATGGGCAGAGTAAGCGGGAAAAACACAAGAAAAATGGCAAGTCCGCGTATCTCAACCCCCACTCTTGATAATCAGGGGA